TTGTGTGCTGTGTTGAAATTGTCAAATTAAGACAGATACCAATGTCTGGTATAGCAAATTTTATTTCGACATTGGAGCCAGAGCAAGAGGCGCTTAAAAATTATTTAGACTGGATAGAAGCACAGTTAACCGTGCTAAAAGTCAAAGAGGCAGATAAGGCAAGTTATTTAATTGCATATATTGGTCCTGAAACGTATAATCATTGAAGGAATTTTCTCTTCGCGTCGATTAGTAGTGAGTGAATGATTTAAATATAATCAACGGGCATGTGAATCTATCCAAGAATTCATCGATAGTTTAAAAAATTTAGCAAACTTTTGCGAATTCGACACCTTTTTAGACGACGCGTTGCGGGATCGTCTAATTGTTGGTTTGAAGGATGAATCAATACAACGCAAATTACTTGGCGAGAAGACTTTAAAGTTTGAAAAAGCATGTGAAATTGCCTTAGATTCCGAATTAGTCGGTAATCAAACTAGCCAAATAAACCAGTGTTATTTGCAAATTAATGCGGTTATTAAGTCGTACGTGGAATTTAAGAAAAACACAAATAATCTCACGACGGTGTTTAATAAAAATATAAAAGTTCCAAGGAGAAAATAGTAAATTTAGTAGTCGAAGTGGTCCATTAAATCAAAATTACCTCAGGGATCAGCAGAATCAGTCATCTCAAAGTAATGGTCAGTCAGTCAGGCAGTGTTTTCGGTGTGGGAGAAATCATGATCATTGTACGTGTTCAGCAAAAGAGTGAACATGTTTTGCATGTGGCCTTGGGTCACACCTCAAATTCAAAAATTTATAAAGTCAAAACAAAGGATAAATGTATTAATTTTATTGAATCAGTAGCTGATATTAATAATGTAAATTTAAGTTCTCTGAGCTGTGAGCCTTTAATAATAAATACTGAAATTAATGGGGTTTTATTAAATTTTGAAATAGATAGTGGAACGTCTGTTACTATTATTCCAAAAAAAGTGTTTATGCAAAAGTTAAAAAATAAAATATGTCTGGAGTCGAAACCGATACATTTAAAATCGGTTAATAATACTGAAATAGAAGTGTTAGGTCAATCTTTAATTGGTGTAGAGTTGGCAGGTAAAGTAGTAAAACTCAATTTGATTGTGACTAATGACAGTGTTAGTAAGTGTTCATTGGGTAGGAATTGGTTAAATACACTTTCGTCTGATTGGAGGAAAATGTTCAATAGTGTAACGAGTGAGGTGAATTAAGGAAAAAATCAGTTACTTATAAGCAGAATAGAGGATAAAAATAAAATTGTTGATGAAATTAAAAGAAACTTAAATGGATTGTCATATTATTTGAAAAGCTTGAGGATTTATCCATGTTTGCAGTTGATTGCTGACGTTTCGGACTCATTGCAGAGTCAATCTTCGGAGCGATAGTTACTGCTTGGTGGCTGAAACTATACTAGCGGCTTATCTTGTTATCAGTCTGTTTTTATACGTTGGTTGTTTATCATATCAGTTGTTTACCATATCGGTTGTTTATCATATCTGTTTATGACTCATGTTGCTTACGGTATCTTGTTTTTGTTGACGACTTTTTTTTTGATTATTGTTGTTGTTTTTGACATTCTTGGCATTTTGATCTTCCTTTTCTGCAGCTGATAGAAGTAGTTATGAAGTTGGTGCAGTAATTAGTCACGTAATCGATAATGAGGAGAAACCGATAGCGTTTGCGTCGAGCACGCTATCCAAAAGTCAAAAAAGTTTTTCACAAATTGAACGTGAAGCACTAGCAATAATTTTTGGCGTAAAAAAGTTTCATAAATATTTGTTTGGTTTAGATTTTATTTTGGTAGCTGATCATCAACCATTAAAAACAATTTTTAATCCATCAAAAAATATCCCGGTAGTATCAACATCAAGGTTACAATGATGGGCAATAATTTTATCTAGTTATCGATATATAATACAATATAAAAAAGGTACACAGATCAGTCACACGGATGCGTTATCCAGATTACCAGTATCAGATGAAATTGAAGTGGAATCCGAAAATTTATCCTTTTTTGAAGAATTGCCACGATCATATAAAAAAGTTGGCGAGGAAACAAAAAAATGATAAGGTATTAAAAAAAGTATGTAATTATATTGTTTCAGGTTGGCCAGCAAAAATAAAAGACCAAATTCTTCTACCATATTTTCGTCGGCGGAATGAGTTGTCGGTCGATAAAGATTGCATTATTGTAGGTTGTTGAGTGCTAATACCTAAGAGCATTCAACTGTGTTAAAAATACTACACGAGGGTCATACTGGTATAGTACGCACGAAAATGTTGGCTAGGTCACATGTGTGGTGGGATACATTATGTAATGATATAGAACGTTTTAGTAAAGAGTGTAGTGAATGTCAAATAAATCAAAACGATAAAGCTAAAAATGAAAAGGTATATGTTAGTTGGCCAATACAGTTTACCAATTATTTTATAATCCTGACTTATTTTCCTCGATTTCTCTCCTTTCCACTTAATTTCCTGCACACTGCAAGCGGGCTTTTATATTAGTAAATCGGCCTGTAACAACAACGTGGTTTGCCACTTGCATAACGACTAGCTAGAGTAGCAAGGGTCGCCACCACCTAGGCGAGGTGTCACACCTATCAGATATGATTACCGGACCATAGGTGGAATTTAATTTTAAGTTAATTAAAAGTATAATCTAAGTTAATATGTCGTTATATGTATAAATTACTATAATGCCTCGTGGTTTATAGAACACTATTATACCAATCAAAGTTGTATGTGGTTGATATGTAAAACATACCGTAGCCCGTGTCTAGATTAAGGAATAGGAATGAAATACACGCGAGTAATTAAGTTACTCGCGCAATAAAATAAATATTACAATTGAAATTAATAAGGAAATTTAATTTAATTGTTAAAAAAAGAAAATTAAGTTAAACATGGACAAAAATGCGAATGCATCAAAAACCATGTCTACAAATAAAGGCAATACAAATAAAATAAAATATTTAAACAAATAATATTACAAACATCACGGACGGTATTGGAACACATCCGTTAATGTTAATCGGAAATTAATGAAGAACACCAGGAGCGGTCTGGACACTCGCTCCTTAGCGTTGGCTAGAAGAAAAGGGAAACACGTGCTCTCCACACATAAACAAAATTAAGTTAATTTACAATAAAATAAAATGAAATAAAATAATTAATAAAATATAGCTCATTACATAAATATAATATAAAAAAGAAAACGATACCCGGTCTCCGAAGAGACCCATCCGATGGTCTGGATGCTTCGCCGAAAAGACCTGGCCGTTTGCCGTTGGCGGCTCTACTCCATCATTGAAAAATATGTCAATAAAACAACAAATGTGTGCACCCTAGCACGGTCAATGACAGAAGAAAGAATAGAGAAGAGTCAACACCGATCTAACGGCAATTTCATATCGATAACGGCCAGTCTTTTTGGAAGGGATCAATACTGATAAACAATTCGATTTTAATTATATTTCTCTTTTATCGCCTTATCTAGCGGTCAGAGGCAAAATAATGAGTGGTTGACACCGCTGTGTCAGAAAAAGGTTCTTTCGCGCGAAAAAATAAATAAATAGACATAACAAAAAATCATAAACGGTCCACCTTTGAATTTGTGACGTTACAACACAACAAATGTTAACTTTTCTCCTCTTAAATACTTCTACTAATTCTCTACTTCTACCAGTTAATGTTCCAACATTCCAAGTACCTATTCTTACTTTGTATCTATCTTTCTCCCTTATACACGAGTCCCGGCCAAGAGTTATGTGGTGATGTCTCTACACCGTTGACACTACAAGCGTTGGATAGATTTGTACACATGACTTGTGAAACAGCTACCGCACAAGTTGTCCGGCTAGTATCAAGCACTTTATTCCTTAGGCCTTCTCCGTTTTTAACTACTTTATTCACTCTAACCTATTACACCATCTAACCCACGTACATCCGAGATGGGACAATCGCCTAAGTTTTGTTCAAGACATCTCATACTATTCGTCAAAAAAAATTTTATGACGGCTGTCGACCTGACGCAACCTTATTAATCGCCTCTTATGACTGGCAGAGAGGTCGTGGAAGTATTCTTATCTACTATCCACAGGGATAAAAATCAAGAAAAATATCAAATTAAAAAATACATTTTCCTAATATAATTATTACTTTAAAAGAATATTCTGTATACAACTTTATCATTTTTTTTAATTTCTCAGTAAAATTTACAATAATATATTATTAAATATAAATTTCATACAAAATATAACTTCTATAAACATTTTTTATTCCTATAATATAATTATAAATCTGTAAGATTTGTTAGATCGGTCTAAAAACTATTCTAAATAGCGAAACCAGCAGTTATTTATGACAGTTTATTACAGAGAGAATACATGAGTTCTTATTACATTTTAACTACTACTTAAACTTACTTTTTTAAAAAATATCAGCCTATTAACAATGATAATATATTATATATTACTGACCAGTGTAGCAACCTTACAAATCAAAGAATTTCTTATAAGGATATAATTTACGAAAAAGGAGATCATTTAAATTGAACAATATTTATAGACTTGCATCGTAGCGTGTCTTATGAAAGTAATTTTAAACACTGTCAGATATCATTAATTTTTTTTCTAAATATGTCATGTTCCCAATGTACCACATTCAGGCTGCGTTAGGTTTACTTGTTTTAAAATTGAACAAGTCAAGTCTAAGTATTGTTTAAAAATGATTAAGAAAACATCATGTTTAAAATATTTTATTCTTATTTCATAAAATTAAATAATTTTTTTAATTATAAAGTGTTAAAATGATTTTCATAAGATATATTTATGTATGACTTTAAAAACACCTAAACAAATAATCATAAATACAACTATTTATCATATGATAAATAATTAAAAATAAAAATAATTTATAAATATATATATATAAAAGATTCTAAAAGTACAGGAAAATTCTTAAAGTAATTATTCTATATTAGTAATAATCTTCTGTTAGTATTTATTTTAATAAGACAAAAGATGATTTTAATAAAAATTATAACATTATTCCACATTCATTTAACGTTTGGATTATCCTTTCAAAGATTACATTGTAATTTTATCATGTATATGTTGAATTATTTTAATCATAACAATCGATATTTAATTGAAATAAGTGAAAACAAAGAAAAATATGATGTGCATAGTTTAAACAAATATGGCGACGCTATAAAAACTCATGGCGAAATCGTATTAGTAATGTTAGATGTGTTAAGGGAAGCTAATACAAACTCAATAGAATTGATGTCAGTAAATTTATATTTAAATAATGTATCCGAATATGTAGATTTTTATGGTAGAAATAATGACGGAATATATGATATGTCGGATCAAACTTCAGGTATTTTTAAAGGTTACAAAATGATTCATGATTTTTTTTTAGAACAGCTTATGAACATGAAATCTAAAAATTGTNGATTTTTTTTTAAAGCAGTTTATGAACATGAAATCCAATAATTGCAATTATGAGATATTTGACGAAATATTTATTTATTGTCCTGATTACAACGAATCAAGAGAATATACTCCCGAAAATATTCAATATGTTGCAAAAAAACTTAAAAATCGTTTAATACAAACTGATAAGCAACAAAACGACACTGATGATAATATAAAAAACTTACAATACAGTGAAGTATATATTTTATTTAATAAAGCTGTTGAAAGGTCTAAATACGAAGATTTTTCACCGAAAAATTTATTATTTTATGACCTTATGACGAGTAATAGCGAAATTTCTGAAAAAGATATAATGAGAAATTTTCAGGATAAACAATATCCATTGTTAACAAACGAACAGAATTTATATGATTTAGACATAATTCGATTTGCACCACTTGCAGTAATTTGTCCTGATAATAGTCGCTTGACCCTTTTTGACATATTTAGATACGTCAAGTATACTTTTTATAGAAAAGATATAGAAGTATTTCATACACTAATGCTAGCAGCAACATTTCGTCCTATTGCTTTACTCGTAAGACTCTTTATCAAAATTCTTAGTTCATCAACATACATTTACGATTTTAATAGTGACCAAAAAGAAACTTCAAAATTCTATGAAAATATTATTTTTGTTGGTGAGAGAATAATTGAATGTTTTCAAAAGTTTGTCCATATGAATTTATTTGGTGACAGTCCCACTAAAGTTTTTATTAAATTTTTAATGAAAACTTCGGAATGCTTTAGGTTTTTTATGAATAAAAATAAACAAAATCTCATATTATCCGCTAGGGAATTAATGAATTCATTAAAATCATTTTTATATAAAAACAAAATTGACTTTATTGATGTATCTGGAATCTTTATAAAGGACATTGTCAACAATCTATTCAATGTATTGATAGTTGATCTGAAACAAGTAGAAGAATTTCTAACAAAATTATACTCTTATAAGGAAATCTTTATAGTCACTACCAAAACTTCTAATATTAAACCCAAGTTAGATATATATTTCACACATGTTTTTAATAGATATGTAATATGTAAGTAAATTTTAATATTAATTTAATTTAGTTATTTGTCTTTTATTATCTATACTGAAATATTGTAAAGGACAAATATAATCAAATTAAAAATTTTTTCCATATTTATTTTTCAAATATACTTTCAACCTATATGTATATCAAAATTATTATTTTATTACTTATTTTTAATATTATATTTTTATATGTATCATATAGAAATGTAAGTACAATTATTATTTATTTTTAGGTGAGTTATGTGAACTTAAAGATATTTACACATTATTATATAAATTCAATGATGATTATGTCAAACAGATTGGTGAAGTTAAGAATAAAAGTCCAGCCATTGATGATGAAAATAGAAACAAAATTAATAGGTATCAAAATGATCCTGCAAAAATTAGAAATAATAGTGATAGATGCGAATTAAATAATTACAATTTTTATCCTAAATACTTGTTAGATTACATATTATACATATAAATTATTCAAATTTTAGTATTTATCAATAATTTTTTCAAATTTTCCTCCACAAATATTATACATAAAAGTATCTTATTGATAGTAGTATCATACATTATATAAACATAATTAATTATTACATTAGAATTTGGTAGTACTAATTTTGAGAACCATACTGTTAAAACGGTCACTGATCAACTGACAGTATCAATACAGACCTTTCATGTCTCGACATATAATTACGTATATAAAGTATATAACATTTTCCTATTGTTAACTGTGACTACTAAAATTATAATAGACATTGTATAATATGTAATAAAATAAAAATATAAGTATACATTATAATTATTGATATCATTAAACACACTAGGTACAGTAATATTATTTAAAATAAAAGTTTAAAATGTATTTTCACTTTTGTTAGTATAGTAAATGATTTAAAAAAACACATTTTTTCCTCGATTATGTCATTTTACTCAATGCAGTCTATTGTATAAATGTTTATGATTTAGTTGTTTATCGAGTTAAACCCAACCCATTACCGTTGAACATGTCTTATATTATATGCTTTGATATTTTATATTAAAAACTATTATATTACGAATAATTTTTAAATCTTTTAATTACATAACCTATTTCATTCAACAATAATCAATAACAACATCTCTAATAATATATAACTAATTCAAGCATCTTTTAGGCTTTATAATTTCCCTATCAGATCTCCTTTGCTCTGTATTTTAAAATAGTTATAGCTTAAAAACGTTATAACTTTCTATATAATATGTCGAAAGTTGTCATCGATCAATGATTTTTTTAATTATATGATTATTTATTTTATTAGATTTTTAAATATGTATGTATTAATTAAAAAAAATAAAGTTGACATCCTTTTAAGGTATAAATGGTGAATTAAAAAAATTATTAGAATTGATAAACCTAGAAATATATAAAACTAAAAATTACCATAAAGGGATTTCTTAACATTTATTATTTCAAGAAAAATTTAGTGGCTATTAAAATAAATGCTTTGTATTATGTTACCTCAATTTATTATAAGTTTTAGATTTGTTTGGAATAACTTTTTATGATTTCCCTGTAAAATTTACAATATTAGTATAACTAATTTATACATTGTGAGCTAAATTATCTTAACTTCTCATCTATTTATTTATTTTGTTATAATTTGTTGTTGAAATGAGACATTAGTATCTAAATACCAGATTGAATTTATGCCTGTTAAGTCAACAATGGAGCCATTATTTTGTGTAGGACAACTTATAGAAAAGTATAAGAAAAAAAAAAAAATTAAAGTATTGTATTTATAGATTTGGAAAAAGCTTATGATAAAGTATCGAGAGAGGTTTTTAAGTGGGTATTAATGATAAAAAGAGTTCCTAAAAAGTACGTTAATTTATGCCTGTTAAGTCAACAATGGAGCCATTATTTTGTGTAGGACAACTTATAGAAAAGTATAAGAAAAAAAAAAAAAACTAAGTATTGTATTTATAGATTTGGAAAAAGCTTATGATAAAGTATCGAGAGAGGTTTTTAAGTGGGTATTAATGATAAAAAGAGTTCCTAAAAAGTACGTTAATATAATAAAACATATGTATGATGGCAATTGTACAAGGGTAAAAAGCATGAGAGTAACAGAAGAAAAATGGCTCTTTTTATTTTAGATAAATTAAGCTAGCGATCTCTTGTGAAATTCCTGAGATGTATAATTATTTATAATTGGTTAATTGCGATAGAAACTCTGATGTAGTTTATGAATTGTAGGGGACTAGTTTGAAACAAAACGATCTCTTAATCTTTCTCATAAATTAGCACCAAATTTACAATTAATAGATAATATTTTGATATCTTTGATATACTGTTAAATACTTTCGCCTTTTTTTTTGTACCCTATTATTAAATAATATTCTCTTCGAAATTCAATATGCAATATAATATTTCTGTAAACATTATTACAATTCATCAAACGATTTTGTTTCGAGTTTTTCAATAGTACACACGCAGGGTGATTTTTTTATCATAACCCACTCAATTACTTGCAGAATAATAATAATTTAAACATTTTTTTTTTTTATTATCTTTAGTTACATATTATTCTTGAATTTTTAACTATGTAATACTTTTTAAGTTCATCCCTTATGCCTTGTAAGGGGGTCAACTTTGTTCTTTTAAATGGTAACACATATTTTTAATTTAATAAAATGTTTGAGTTTTTAATTTAATAGCAAATGGCATTTGAATTTTTAGTATAACTTTATTCGTTTATTAGATATAAACATTTAAAGTTTCAAATTTTTGAGTTGATATACATGTATAATACACAAGGTATTACAAATACAGATAGCTAATTGGTTTTTTATGACATCAATGTTCGCAGGTACACAGCATTGTTATTATCAATGGTAGTAAGGCACATTGTTGTGAGTTCATAAATACACTAACTGACTATATAAAAGGTATATCTATTGATAGTCATAATTGATAATAAACAATCCGTGACTGCGATAGCTACGCTGTTACTTTAGTCGGATGCTTAGAGTTTAAATCACCCCCAGTAATAAATTTACTAGAGATGTTAAGTTCGTGAACGAATAGTTCATTTGAACTATTCACTTAGATGAACTATTCTGAACTGTTTCAGTACCTGTAACTTAACAGTTCACAGTTCGAAAAAAATTGGTAGCAATGTATAAATGAAATAGTTCGCGAACTTCTTTAAAAATTCTTTGTGGTTCGTTGTTCGAAATACTGTAAATGGTTAATAGCTGTTTACAATTAGATAACAAATAAATTATATTGTTAAAATGTTACAGGGTTTTTAACTGTTTAACAATAAAATAAATTCATACTATGTAAAAATATTAGATCAAATTTCTGATTTAACTTAAGACTACTGGTCAGTATATCTACCTTGAATTAGGTGATAATGATAACATGAGCCATGAGGGTATTAATAATAATTTTTTCTTAGTTTATGATGTTCAGGTTAAGGGTTAGTTTATAACTTAATTGCCCATAAGTAGTGTGAACTACAACTGAACTGTGTACTGCTATACTAATAGTGATAAAATGAATAGTTCATTGCCAAACAATATCAGCATGATCAATAAAATTAGTGAACTTAAGAATAGTTCATTTGAACTATTCACTTGAATGAACTATGAACTAATGAACTATTCACAGAAATGAACTAAACTTTCCATCTCTAAAATTTACTACCTAGTGTGGTGAAATAATGTTTAAATGTGTTGTTAAAAATTTTTTGTTTAGGAGAACTGTATATAGATGAGATCATTAATGGCCATTGCTTTATTTTATTAATAAAATAGAAGCAACTTGAAGGGAGTAGTAAATTGTGAGAGATATTATTTTTTACATAGATAGCTATCCCAGCATTTCTGGAGCCATTACAATGATAGGTTTGGTAAGTTTTATAGCCATAAAAGTTAACTTATGTGTAATGTGTGAAGCGGGTTTCAGGTATTAGTGCAATGGCTATGTCTTTATTTTTAAGTAGTGTTAAAATTCATTTTAGGCTTAGGTAAATTGGCACCCCCATCGCCCGATACGAAGGTATCGCAATAAAATCCGCAATCTGTTGGGCCCTCCATTAATGGAAGTTTGGGGTGAGGCTAACCACCTCACACAAGAAAAAAAATGAGTTCCAGAACAACACAAAATCAAGCCTCGGATTATTTGGATAAGTTTAATCTCTGAGCCTGGAATGTACGGTCGCTATATATAGTGGGTGCACTGACAGTTATAGAGACTAATTTTGAGCGATAAAAAATTGAAATAACGGCAATTCAAGAAGTTAGATAGATAAGAAATTGAAATCTGAAATAGAATAGTTTTACAGTTTTTTAAAGCAGTGGTCAAAGACGTGAAAAAGGGGTTAGATTTATTATTAACATTTAATATCTACCATACATATAACAATTTAAACCTTATAGTAATACGCTGTGTTATATCAAACTTTAATGTAAAGACATGAATTAAACACTAATAAATGGATATGCGCTTACAGAGGACAAGCAACAAGACGAAAAAAAAGCATTTTATGAAGATCTAAATGCTATATAAGAATCAATAGTAATTTTAAATATCTGGGTGTTACAATAATAGCAAAAATAATAATCACGAAAAAATTATTAACGAAAATAAATGAATGAATGAATAAATTTTATTTAGATGCAATTTTTGGAAATAATTTTATTTATTATTATTTATTAATTTTTGATGATCATTTAATTTGGGAACATTTAAATTCATAAATGTTTGTAATTCATTGATATCATACTGTTGTTCTCTTCGAAATTCTCGATCGAACAAATCATGCATTAAACGATTGGGTGAAATCATACCTAATTGTCCCAATGCTTTATTGACGGTCGTAATGCACATTTCTTCAATCACTATTAATACCTCATTATACATTTCCAATGTTATGATCAAATCAGAGTTTTCTGTTAAATGGCGCATTCGAATCAAAAACTCTTCTACCATAAAATCTCGATATTTATTCCACAATTCAATCGGATTCGAAACATGATATGATATTATTATGGCATTCAGCATACGTATTTGATGTGGAGATGAAGCGATCGATGCATCATGAAGTGATGAATCCCAATGTGCATCATTTTCCAGTAAACCCAAATACTCACACGCTTCACGATACGTTACGCATTAACTGTTGCAAATCTTCAAATGAACGCAGTCCCACAACATTCACTAACAACAGCCTCAAATAATAACATTCTATCAGGGGCGGACTGGCTATGTGTGAGGCTAGTCGGAAAATTTTCGCTAGAGGTCAATGAGGCCATAATTAATGGCAGATTTTAGGAGCCTTGGCCCCTAGGCTAAGTATTTTTTCTTATTTATTTATACATCTTCTATCTTAAGTTATAAATATTCTGCTAAAAATAATAGTGTTATCTGAAGAAAAAAAATGTGAAAAAAATATAAAAATTTGCAAATTTCTTGTTGGATATACATCGATCGAATATGCTGTCAAGAAAATGTGTTTTTTGATTATTCATGTTATCGTTGTGTTACATCGAGTTGTTGTCGGTTTTCTCTCTATGTTACTATTGTCGCATCTTATCGCTTCTTCTGTTATAAGCTCTATGGCGTTTGCGAGCTAGTAGTTTTGTATTCGTTTTACTGTAAAATGAAAATATCACCTTTGCGATTTTCGTACCCTGTGCGCTCAGTTTTATCGCCGTTGGGTCTATATATTTTCTGAGATACATCACAATACCTTTGACAGCATATTTCACACTTTGGTCAGCAACTTGCATTCGACAATTGATCCTTTTCAATATTCAGCATTATCATCAGCCGTTTTCATTTATCAGATAAGTATAATGCTTGTTCATTTATCTTTCTAAGACTCACTTGTATAATTTATTATTTGTTTATATCATCGCCTTTCTGGCATTAGTATTAAGTGTCCCCCCTATCCACCACATTGGTGTATATAAGATTTTTTATTTCTTGTATAATACATTTAATTTTTATAATTATATCTTGTGAAATTCATTCAACATTCAAACA